CCTCTCTTCTTACCTGTATGACTAAACTTATTACAAAAGCAGAATATACTTCATGTTTCCACTTACTAGCTTCCCTTAGTCTCATAATCCACTTATTCCTCATCTTTCTATAGTTCTACTTCTGTCTCTACCACTCTACTGAATGACTTCTTCCTAGTCCAGTGATCCCCAAATCCAACTTCTCAGCTCTCAGACACTCGTCACACTCTGCAGTTCCAGATGCTTCAAAGCATCTTCTAAAGCACCTTCATCACGCTGCTTTGTCTTCTCTGGCTGTGTCATCTTTCTCTTCATTCTGTTCCCTTAATCAAAGTATTGTACAAGGTTCTTATGTCAGCTCTCTTCTCTTTTCTTTTGATACCAAGTTATCATAATCCAGGGTCTATAAAATTTTGTGTTTGTGTGCTTGCTGATTTTCCTGGCAAGGACTTGCATAGCTTTCATCATATTCGCAAGAGAGTTCATAACTTGAACAGGGTAAAGAACTTGCAATAAGCTCATTTAGTCAGGAATCTTACCCACTCCCAGGGCTACAACTATCACTTCTACACAGGTAACAGCTAATCTTCTCATCTTCTTACCAAACTCCAGGTTCACATTTCACACACCTGTGAGGCACTTCTAATGGATACACAACTAGTTCCTAAAATTCATCACATCCCACCTCATCAACCAGGACCTCCTCATGACATTCTTGTGTCTTTAATGGACTTTTTACATTCTCATGTACACAGTAATATGGGAAAAAATTCCTGCCTCTGCATCTTGAGTCAATGAATCATCCTAAGAGGTTGCTTGGGGCAGGGTTCCTTTTAGAGAGAACATGAGCTGGTTTCTTTATGGAGGAACACAGATGGTACATGGGAAACAACCGTTAGCCTTCTGATGGTGGAGCTGTTAGTAGCTCCCAAAGCAACTCATTCTCGTATTGCTCTGCCAGGTCCAACAAGACCTTTACCTTTTAATCATGTCCCTTAAACTCTAAGAGACTCATGTCAAACTTTCCAGGTGGCTTTCACAAATCCCTTTCTCTTTGTTTTAAAATGTATAAAAACACCTCCACCCCTCACTATTAGTGTGTAGAAACTGGTAACACACAGAAAACTAAAGCTCTCTAAAAGAGTGCCATTTCTCCAATGTCTTTTAGATCAATGCTGACTTCCTTCTGCACCCTAGGTAATGAACTAAGAGTTACAAAACCAGTTTCACAACCTTTTTAACATGTTTTGCATAGATAAGCTGTTATCTATGGTACTGTTATCAGCAGTTAGGTTCTAGCTGAAGTGAAACAGAATGATCCCCAGTTATATATATTGTCATATTTCCTCATCAGTGTCACATCAAAGACATGGCTGAGCATGCTGCACAAGCCATTCATTCCTGTAATTGGCCTTTCTTACTTTGTTCTTCATTTTCCTTTTGTAGCTCCAAAGACTTTCCTCTCTGCTCAGCTAGCATCACCCTTACTTGTAGCAAGTGATCTTGCCTCCTATTCTATGTGGAAAACAGGACATATCAAGAATGATTCCTCTTATGATTTATTAGGACACTCATTCTTGCCTTCTCTTCAGTGTTAGAGAATGAGGATTCCTATCTAATGTCCAAAACCAGGCCAAACTTTTCAAGTTTCTTTCTTGACTTCTGATTTCCTTCATGCCTTCCTGCAATGTCCCATTCATCCCACTGGATTTTCTCACTCTATATTTTTACTAAATAATATTTATGTTTATCATTCCAACTACCCACTCTTATGCTGATGGTTTCTTAATCCATCTTAATCTCTTCATTGATGGATATATTCTGAACACTCCACCTGGACATCATATAGACGTGCAGACTGAAGGACCAAAACTGAACCCATTCTCTCCCCAGGATGCTGCTTCTCTGTGTCCCAGCACCACCATCACCAAACCAGAAACATGGAAATCAAATTTGACTCCCTCTACTACCATATTTAATCATTTTCTAAGTCCAAAACACCTTTAGCTCCTACTGTTTTTATATCTTTTGCCACCTATCCACCTTTACCTACTCTAAACTAGACCTTTACCATTTCTGACCTGGTCAACTACAGCAGGCTTCTTGCTGTATCTGCCTGCAATGAAGTCCTGTTCTCCTCCAAAAATAGCATATCAGTTATCTACAGTTGTGCAAGAAAATGTACCCAAATGCAGCCATGTAAATCAGCAAGCATTTATCATCTCACACAATTTCTGATGGTCAGAAATCTAGGAGTAGCTTATCTGGGTGGTTCTGGCTCAAGGTCTCTCCAGAGGTTGCACTCAAGCCATTGGCTGAGTGTAAAATCATCTGAAGACTTGACCTGCAGGATCTACTTGCAAAATGGTTTTCTGCCAATATTTTGGGCAGAAAGCCCCAAATTCCTTGCCACATGGGCCTTTCTACAAATCTTCTTAAATGCCTTCACAACATGGCAGTTGTCTTTCCCAGATCTCTGATCTAAGAGAACAAAGAGGAGGCTGAATGACTTCCATGGCCTCATGTCTGAGGTCACACACTATAACTTCCATTTTATTCTCTTTGTTCGATGTAAGTCATTAAGGTTAGCTCACATTCAAGGGAAGGAAAGTCAAGCTCTACCTTCTCAGAGAAGGAGCATCAAAGAATTTGAAAGCACATTTTTAAATGACCACAACCAGTATCTTTATAACTTTCAAAAAAAATCTGTTAAAGCTATAAATCTACCAATGTCATCTTAACTACTAAAAACCTAAAATATGTCTTCCATCATCCATAGGCTATAAAGTTTCCTTACATCGCTTATAAGACTCTCAATGATCTGACCTCTGAGTGTGTCTACAATTTCTTGTCCCATCACTTCTTCATATTTTATATTCTAAATACACTAAATAGTTTGTTATTCATTATATGTTGTCTCTTGACCCCAAGACTCATAAGACTGTACTTCTGCATAGAATCTCCTGTCCTCTGTAACTGAGTAGGTTTTGTATATCTCTTAAGTCCCTATATATATATTATCTTCACTTAAGAAGTCTTCTTAGTAAAATACATCTCACCCCTAGGCCCATGAATTATTTCTACCTTACTTCCTAATAATTATACTGACGTATAATACTTAAAATAATTGTCTTCTATTGTACATTCTCTTTATGCAAAAAGACTGCAAACTCACTGAGGGCAACATATTCCTTATTTTGTGCCCCTGTATAAAGTATAAATTAAGATAACACCAATTGCTATAATAGTGCACCAAATCTCAATGTTTATTTATATCTTGATGGCCCAATTCATTTTCAGGGATTATTAGAGAAGGAGTAGTAGAAACAGTGTGATCTAATGGTTTGTTTGGAAAGACACCTAATCCTTTTTGGAAAGATATCTCCTATTCAAGTAGGATTTATGGGCCCTTAGGACACATATACATCTGTGGCATAGGTCAGAGATGGTAATTTACACTCAGTTATAAGTCTTTAAGGAAAATACCACATCCCTGCTTCCAAAGTGTAAATTCTCAAGTAATTTTAAACTGAAAACCAGAAAACAAAATCCAAGTGCAATGATAGCTAATAACCAACTAGTGGTCCTTAAAAAAAAAGAAAAAAATGCAACACTAAGAGACTAAGGATCCCAGTTCTATAACCAGATCTGTGCTTCATGTCATTGGTATGCTTGCAAGTAGGGTTAGGAATGAGGTTGAACTATTGTCATCAATATTTTTAAGACATTATCCTAAAAAATTATAGTCTAAGTAGAATAACGATCAGATTGATGTCTAGTCAAGTTTGATTTCTCCATTTTCTAGACAAAGGCTCATATCCAAAACTAAATAGGAAACCAAGAAAGATTCTTCTTGCTCAAGTGTCTTAGAATTTTTTTTCTCTGAAATATGTTCAGGAAATAAAAATACCAAAAATCATTCACAATATAGACTTTTAGAAATGTGCTTTAATTTCTCTTTAATTTTAAAACTATTCTGTTAATTCTTTCAGCAATGGGAAAGGTCGAGATGAGGGTTAAACAGTTGAAAGGGCAGCACCTATGGCTCAAAGGAGTAAGGCACCGCCCCCCTATGCCAGAGGTGGCAGTTTCAAACCCAGCCCCAGCCAAAAACTGCCAAAAAAAAAAAAAAAAGAAAGAAAGAAAGAAAAGAAACAGTTGAAAGAACAACAAGATCTTAAATATCAAAAGAAGGGCATGACTGCATTGGCAGTGTATTTGTCCCATGGGGGGGCGGGGGGTACAACAACAAAAACTCTTAAGCCTAAGAGGTTTTTTGTGCATTTTTTTTTCCTAAGCTAAAGCTCTCAGCAGAAGCTACATGAATTTCATCAATATGTTTATATAATTCTAAGCCAAGAAATTCTGTAAAGATTACCCAAGTATCTGATGTAGCATCTGGCAAGGGATGAAGTGTATCTCACAAGGACCTGGAAAAAAATCTGTTAGAAGAGCTGCTGATGTGATCAAGAAGATTTTAAACTAAAATCCCAAGAAGAGAAGGAAAATATCTCAATAAAAGTATAACTGAATACCATGGAAAACAATAAAAGTATTAGCATAAAAACTAATAACAAGGGGAAATACCAAGTAATTCTCTATAGAAAAGCAGCAGGTTGTGAGAAATGTGAAAAAGTCCTCAAATTAATATACGAAGGCCAAAAGAATAAATCTAACAAACATGATAGAATTTTCTTTTAAAACAGATATATTGGCCAAGCATGGTGGCTCACGCCTATAATCCTAACACTCCGGGAGGCTGAGGCAGGTAGATTGCTTGAGCTCTGGAGTTCAAGACCAGCCTGAACAAGAATAAGACCCATCTCTACTAAAAATAGAAAAAAAACAAAAAGCAAAAAATTAGCCAGGCATATGGGTACCTGTAGTCCAGGCTACTTGGGAGACTGAGGCAAAAAAAAAAATCACTTGAGTCAAAGAGTTTGAAGTTGCTGTGAACTATAATGACAGCATGGCCCTGACCCAGGGCAACAGAGACTCTGTCTCAAAAAATAAAAAAATTAGTGCTTGCTTCGGGAGCATATATACTAAAATTGGAATGATACAGAGATGATTAACATGGCCCCTGCACAAAGATGACATGCAAATTCATGAAGTGTTCCATATTTTAAAAATAGGTAATAAATAAATAAAATTGATATATTCTTAGAGGTATATTCTAAATTTTAGTGGTATAACTAATGACCAAAATATGCAAATTGAAATATACTTTGTTAAAAAAATAAAATAGGTCAGAGATTAGCTTCTCTCTTGAAAACATGCAAAGAATCACTAAAAATCATAGACATAACTGAAGCAGATTTATTTAGTGGAAGAGGGGGGAGTGCACAATGGGGGGGAGTGAGCATAGAAGCAGAAATCCTATAGGGAGTGGGCAACATGTAGGCTACGCATTTAGATGATGTATGTGATACTTGATCTTAGCTGAAAAGCCGAGAAGCAAACAGATGAAGTATATGAGCAAAGCTTTTCTAATAGACCCTTATATATCATAGAAGTAAGGTAAAGTAAAAAATAAGAGGCAGTATTAACCATCCTTTAATCTGCTAGAAACCTCTTTTGGCCAACTCAGAGCATCTAGTACAGTCACACTTTGATTTTTGTCATCCCTGCCTTTCTCCAGTCTATGCCCTCACAGCAGTAGGTGCCAAGAACTCCAACCTGCATCCTCAGCTTCATATTGTCCTTAATCCAGTCTTGACTGAGGAAGATCGTATGTACTAAATTCAAACTCACAAGTAGTCCAAAGCCCAGTGTTGATGCAAATTGTGGAGCCCTAGGCATTTGCCTGTTTACTATCCCTGAATCTTCACCAACCCATTCTGTATTTCCACATTTATACAAGTATGATTTGACTTCCACCAAATTTCTGTTTAAGAGTAAAGACCATAATTAGAACAAGATTCTCAGCTAAAACATTAATCCACTTGGCACCTTGTGGTCATATAGTTTGACATTTCTTAAAACTATGTCTTTTAGGAGAAGTAGTGAAGTAGCCCCAGAACCCTAGATTTCCGATTGCTGGCCAGTGTCTTGCCCAAATCTGATAAACTAATTAGAACCTCACCTGCTTTCTTTCTCATCATCTGGAGACCCTCATCTCATGACCTGGCCAAAGCAGGCTTTCACTTCCAGACTTCTCTTTGCTTCTCGGGCCTTCTGCTGAGCTCAAGCATATTTTCTCACCAAACCAATACAAGAAATATTTCTCTGCTATTAATTTGTTCCTTTTAAAAGCCACAGAAAAGTGATATATTTATCTGAAAACAAGGGTACTAGACAAGACTATTCCTAAGATCTTTATCAGTTCTAAAACTTTATTATTTTGTAATTTTGGCTCTGGCTAAGAAGGAGAAAACTTACTGGAAAATTGATAGGTGGCTAGGGAAAAGGTAAATACATTATCCACCCAGATAATATACTCTAATCTAGGGGGAAAATTCTCTAAAATTCATAGAACTATCCAGGAGACTTTCTTATAGATGAAAACAAAAAAAAAATGACTCACAAAGAATTGAAAACTAATATAGCTACATAACTTTAAATGATAAGATGAGAAAAAATCATCTAAATAAATTATTATAGCTGGTTTGAGAACTGTCTCAAGATGTAAGTTTGTAAAACATAAGAATATTCAAAATAATCTTATGTAAGAGCAAGAAATTAGAAGAGCCTAAATTGCCAAAAACGGACATTAGTGAGTAAATTTTAATGTAATAAAATAATCTTTAAAAATTAACATTCGTTGTCCAAAACTGTTGCATGCTATGGGAAAAAAAAATCTTACAAAGTAAAATCCTAGGCTAGAAATATAAAAATGGTCCTAATTTGACATATGCATAGTTATTATTTCTAAGTGATAGAGTAACAGTTGTGTTTTATTTTCTTCTTTATACCAGTGTCTGATTTTCAACATTACTTCAGTAAATATTTCTTTTATAAATAGGAAAAAAAAACATTTTAAAGGTCATGTACAAAGGTAGAAGCAGCAGCACACAGTTATGAACTGGATAGGAAAGAATGGTACAAACCTTTAAGAACAGTGTCAGAATTACAGAGGCAATAACTTGGGATTATGAATAATGCTGAGGAAGATGAAAGAATTTTTAAAGTTATGTTTAAACCAAGAATAAAAGAATGGGCTGAACTTACTCCTCCAAGCAGAGAAGGTCATGTTAACATTGCTTCTCTTTTTTCCATCAAAGCAAATCATCCCATTGGCAGACATCACATGGCTAAGGGGAATTCCAGGATAGCGAAGGATATTATAAGGGACCCCCTAATAAGGTTAAATGATTTTATGTCTCCAAGCCCAAGGAACTCACATTCTAGTGTCTCAAAGGAATTTACAGAGAGGATGATGACATTTCAGATGTCATATCTTAGAAATCACAGCAATTAGGAAAGGTGAGAGAACGCTGGAAGTGGGCAAACATTCATCCACTTTTCCAGCAAGGACATAGAGATGTGTTATGAAAACTGTTATGTAGTGAACTTTGTTTCCATTTCTTTTCTTTTTTTTTTTTAGAATTTTACCAGAACTTTATTTGCTTCTTACTATTAAAGAAGCAGGCAATATCAAGAAAAAATGAAGTATGATATTAACTAACAATAATTTTATCTACTTTGTCTCTTTCCTAAAGAATTCTTGAAGACTTTTGTGAACTAATAGCAAATTATTGAATTTATTTACTTCCAAGCTATATGAATTGTTGAGATGATTCACCTTTCAATTATATGAAAACAGTATTTTAAAATTTGACAGTTGACCAACTATTGCACATATGAAGTAAAACTCAACAGAAACCAGATAGGTGGGAGAGGGGAGGAGGAGTTGGGTAAATTCACACCCAAATGGTGCAATAACATATTTTTTTTGGACAAATATATCAATTTTATATAAATAAATAAAGGAAACAAAAACATTATCTACTAATCAATTATGAGATAAGTGTACTCATTACCACCACTCCTAGTAAAGTTGAAGATCCTATCTAATACAATTATGAAAATCCCAATGGTTTGTAAAAAAAAAAATACAAATTTCATTTCTTCCAAGTTACCAAGTCCGTTTCAAATTATAAAGTGAGTACAAATGGTTTTCTTTTTTTTTGAGACAGAGCTTCAAGGTGTCCCCCTGGATAGAGTGCTCTGGCATCACAGCTCACAGCAACCTCCAACTCCTGGGCTCAAGCAAGTCTCCTGCCTCCACCTCCCAAGTAGCTGGGACCACAGGTGCCCACCACAACACCTGGCCATTTTTTGGTTACAGCCATCATTGTTGTTTGGCAGGCCTGGGCTGGATTTGAACCCACCACCTTAGATATATGTGTCTGGTGCCTTAGCCACTTGAGCCACAGACCCTGAGCCACAAATGGTTTTGTTACATGGATACCTGGTACTACATCCAAGGCTTAAGCCAGGGCTTTTAGCGTGCTTTTGTCACCTGACTAAAGTTCACTGTACCCCACAGGTTAGTTTTTATCCTTCAGGCTCCTCCTACCCTCCTTCCCTCTTGATTTCCAATGTTCTTTATGTCTCTTTGTGCCTGCGGGTGTGTACCCATCATTTAGCTCCTCTGTCTCAGTGAGAAAACGTAGGGTTTATTTTCCCGTTCCTAAAATACTTCATTTAGAATAGTGGTCTCCAGTTCCGTCCAAGTTGCCACAAAGGATATTATTTCATTCTTTCTATGCCTGAGTAGTACTCCATGGAATATAGACACCACATTTTCTTTATCCACTCGTGAGACAAACACGAATTCAGGCATCTTTTAAAATGACTTCCGTTTGGCAGATATTCAGTAGTGGAACTGGTGGATTGAGTGGTAAATCCACATTTATCTCTTTGAAGAATCTCCATACTGTCTTCCACAGAAGTTAGACAAATTTGCAGTGTCACCAACAATGTGTAAGCATTCCTTTCTGCAGCATTTGTGCCAGCATGTATTATTTTTTGACATCTTAATAACAGCCATTTACGACAGGTGTAAGGTAGTATCTCATTGTATTTTTAATTTGCGTTTCTCTGCTGATTGGTGGCTTTGAGAATTTGTTATGTATTTCTTTGTCCTTGTCTACATTCTTTTGAAAAACTTATGTTCAATTCTTTTGCCCACTTTTTGTGGGGTTATCCTTGGTTTTTTGTTTGGTTTTTCTTGCCGATTTGGTTGAGTTCTTTGTAGAGTCTGGATATTAGCCCTTTGTTGGACGTGTACTTTGCAAATATTTTCTCCCATTCTGTAGGTCATCTATTTACTCTGTTGATTATTTCTTTGGCTGTGCAGAAGCTTTTAAATTTAAAGTCTCATTTATTTACTTTTATTGTCATATTTGCCTTTGGAGTCTTAGTCAGATATTCTTTGCCTAGGATGATATCTACAAGACTTTTCCCCAGGATTTCTGCTGGAATTTTTATGGTTTCATGACTTACATTTAAATCTTGTGTCCATCTTGAATTAATTTTTGTATATGGCAAGGGAGACAGGGCTCCTGTTTTATTCTTCTGCATGTGGCTATCCAGTTTTTCCAACACCACTGCACCTTTTATCCCCAGTGTATGTTGTCTGCTTTTTCATAGATCGGGGGTTATGAATACATGGTTTTTATTTCTGGACTTTTTATTCTGTTCTATTGGTTGAGGTCTAGTGATGTAAATACCTCCAGATTTGTTCTTTTTGCTTAAGATTGCTTTGGCTATTTAGGTTCTTTTTATCATTCTAAATAAAGCTTAGAATTATTTGTTCTAGATCTATGAATTACAATGTTAGTATTTTGATGAGGGTTGTGTTCAATCTGTAAATCATTTTGGGTAGTATAGATATTTTAATGATTCTACCAATCCATGATCATGGGATAATTTTCCATTTGCTTTTGGCATCTATAATTTCTTTTATCTGTCTTTTATAGTTCTCCTTTTAGGATTCTTTCACCTCCTTGGTCAAATATATTCCTAGATGTTAAGGTTTTTGTAGCAATTGTAAATGCTATTGAGTCTTTGATTTGACTTTCAGCCTGTTATGGATATATGCAAGTGCCATTGATTTCTTTACATTGATTAACCTGAGACATTGCTCAATTTATTCATTGATTCTAGGTGTCTTTTATTGGA